TGACACACACGTCACATGACCCACACGTCACATGACACACACGTCACATGACCCACACGTCACATGACACACACGTCACACGACACACGTCACATGACACACACGTCACATGACACACGCGTCACATGACACACACGTCACATGACCCACACGTCACATGACCCACACGTCACATGACCCACACGTCACATGACACACACGTCACATGACCCACACGTCACATGACACACACGTCACATGACCCACACGTCACATGACACACACGTCACATGACACACACGTCACATGACACACACGTCACATGACCCACACGTCCCATGCTCAGCTATGCACGATGTATGCTCGACATGCCAAGGGCTGTACTAGATCTCACACTCTCACACTCTCACACTCGCACACTCTCACACTCTCAGAAATAAATGATTTCCGACACGAAAAAAGAAATAACAGACAGACAAACTAACTAATAAAACAAACAAACAAACAAACAAACCATCTAGGTTTTTAGCAAATATGCACTGAGCCGATGACAGTAAGAAAAGGAAATAGAATTGTGTATATATATATATATATATATGATAATATATTTAAATATAAAAACACAAACACACACACACGTAAATTACAATATATTATACAATATGTAAATAATACATGATATATATCACTATATACATACATATAGATCTAGATCTAGATGGAATGCGTTATGGGAAATATAAATAAAAAAAACCAATTTGACATTTGGTACATGCCAGTTAGAGAACAGAAGTGAGAAAACAACGGTCACATGAGACAAGCTAGAATCAACTCTCGACAGCAGCGTCGCTGAAATGTGGCAAACGATGCATGTTTAACGGTCCCTTGTAACGCTGTCAGGGTATTTAAGAGGCGGGATCTACGAATGAAACGTCCATCTCTCAAACTGAAAGGACAGAACCAAATGGGGAAATTATTTCCCAAGGACACAACGTCGGACCGAGCTAGGGCTCGAATCCCCTAACCCGCAATCTCAGGATTACGAGTCCTGTAGCCTAACCACTAGACCACCGACACTCTCACGGTTACGAGTCCAGTAGCCTAACCACTAGACCACCGACAACCTCACGATTACGAGTCCGGTAGCCTAACCACTAGACCACCGACAACCTCACGATTACGAGTCCGGTAGCCTAACCACTAGACCACCGACAACCTCACGATTACAAGTCCAGTATCGTAACCACTACCCACTTCTCACGCCACGACTACAAACAAAGATGGTTCATAACAAGATAGTTCACTCAGCCAAAAAAGTGTCCGCGCTGCAGTCTTTGTCTTGAAGCTCTCTTTCGTTTCTCCAGAAGAAAACTAGGATCACACAAGTAGGGTAACTCTGTTTGCCAAGTCCGAGCTCTCTCAAAGAGGACACCACCGGATATTGAGGACACTTTTGAAAATTGGCTCAAAGAGAGGAGTGAACTATCTTGTTATACACAATATTTGCTACAAGTTTGCAGAGCTGCTGTTTCTTGACAGCGAGTTGGCAGCACCCCAACTGTGACCAAAGGTCAGTGGATAAGACAGAGAGCCTGAAAACAAGATGAACATTCGCACCCAGACGTCAAACTAGAGCGACGACCTGCAGAAAAAACAATTGGTCATGCTGTTGGAACATGGTCAAACGTAAAGTTGTTCCCGCATCCGATCCGGACATTGGGGATTGCCTTGTTAGTGAGACAACTTCCTGGGCTTTCGGCATATCGTGGTAGGGTGGCCAGTTCCTTTCCTCGCCGCCTTTACTTCCCCAACTAGAAGTCAGGTACCCATTACTGGGCAGGAGGGGGCGAAAAAGATTAGAGTCAGAACGGAGCCTCGAACCCGGACTTTCCGCTTCGGAGACGAGCGCACTAACCGCTCAGCCACCGCACCCTCACAATATGGTTAAGTTCTCATATTATTGTTGGATTTACGATGTCACAGACCGGTGTCCAATTCTCCACTGGGTAGAACTAGTTATCGAGATTCTCGGTCTGTCTGCTCGGGTGGTGTATCCGTCTTCCCCTGAGTTGACCCTGACAGGCAGGGTCGGAAGCCCGCCTCCTAAATGATCTAACTTGTGTCGATTGGGGTGTAAAAAACAAGTTGATACAACCGATGAGTGGGGAGAGCAGAGGTGGGG